TGTATTTTTTCGATCATAGGTTGACTGTAGACGAAAAGTATTTGGTTCGGAGGCAGGATCTGGTCTGGCGCATTGCAGACGGCGCTTGGGTTCGTTGCTGACTCAGTTTTATGAATAATTTTTCTGTAACGGTTTTCCGGGTATTGTGTATGCGGAACGCGGGCAAGGGAACGAAACATGATTGAGTTTCGGAGTCTTGTGTCATTTTATTATGGCAGGATATGCTAATCAGGTCGTGTTTCATTTGAAGCGATGCATGGTTAACCTTGGGCAACTTTGTCTTATATACTGCGTGCTTTTTAAACATAAAATTCCATGAAGTATTAAGTTTTGTAATTTTATCTGAAATCCTACGCATTAATCTTGGACTTCGGAATATATGCCAATTGTGAACAATAAAATTCTACGTAAAAGTTTACAACACAAACTTCCCGACATTTGCCCACACAGCAGAAGAAACGAAGATGAAAATACAGAAAAGAAGAAGAAGTAATAATAACAAAAGAAGAAAGAAGGAAGAACAAGAACAAGGAAATGCAAAATCGTCTTGCCTCCACTTATTGTATTACCAGTGCATCTCTGAATATCGAAACTTCACTCCCAGCATTGATTTCAAATCTTAGCCCACCACTGCAGTAAAAAAATGAAAATAAAGAAAAGAGAGAGAGAGAGAGAGAGAGAGAGAGAGGGAGAGAGAGATGAAATAGAAGAAAAAACTCACTTACATATACGAAGTGCTTCTACTTATCGACGGGTTATCTCTCGTCGGGCGTGCCCTCTCCGGTGCCAGGTCAGGCCGGGTCAATTCGAGAGTGGAAAGGTCACGGCCAAGTTGGGTCTCCGCTGCGTACACACTACCACACGCCATGGCTGCAAGAGAAAAAGGTCATGTGAACACAGGGTCAAAAAAGGTCGTCATACTGATGCTTCCGTAAAATGTTACTATAGAATTCAGTGTTAAAATCAAACTGAATTCCATTACGTTGGTGCTTCTGTAACGAAAGATCGTCTATATAACCTTCTCTATATAACCCATATATATATATAATATATATATATATATATATATATATATATATATATATTATATATATGAGTATATATAACCCAGTGCAGGGTGTCGGCCCACACAACGTTAAGACTTTACTGCTGCAACAAAAAGATAGCAAATATTAATATATTTCCGACTTCATATACCCAGGAATTTGGATATTGAGCCTCCTTAAAATTTCATATTCTAGGAGCAGAAGGTTACGCCATAAATTCCAATATTGTCGCCGCCCTCTTGGCGCGCCGATGAAATAGGAGCGGCGACCTGCTGCTCCGCCTCGCCTTTTGGGGAGAGTGGAGGCGGCGGTGGAGATAAGTTTTATCAGGAAAGATGATGATAGTAGGGATAGTGATGATGATGATGATGGTGATTATGATGATGGTGGTGGTGACGATGGTGATAGTGATGATGATTGTGGTGATAATTATGAAGATGATGGTGATTATGATTATGATGGTGGTGATGATGATGGTGATTATGATGATGGTGATAGTGATGATGGTGATAGAGATGATGCTGGTGATAGTGATGATGCAGGTGATAGTGATGATGATGATGGATGATATGTGATGATCGATGGTGATATGTGATGATGATGGTGATAGTGGATGATGATGTGATAGTGATGATGATGGTGATAGTGATGATAATGGTGATAGTGATTGATTGATGATGATGATGATAATTATGATGATGGTGATGAAGATGGTGATTATGATGATGATGGTGGTAGTGATGGTGAGGGTTATGATGCTGTTGCTGATGATGGTGATTGTGATGATGATCGACGACGAATATGATGACAAATGACAAAAAATAATCGCAAAAATGGTAATGATATAAATAGAGATGTTTAAAAAACAATGCTAATAGTCAAATAACAATAACAATAATAACAATATCAGTTTTAATCATAACAACATTAATAATATGAATAACAACAATTATAATAAAAAAAACAACAACGATAATAAGAATAACAACAATAATAATAAGAAGAACAGCAACAACAATAAGAATAACAACAATAAAAATAACAAGAGTAACAACCACGATAATACAAGATAATAACAATGATATAAATAATAATAATAACAGTAATGATAAAACAGTAAATAAATAGGTATCGGGGATAATTAAGATCATAAAAAACATAAGTTATCAGTGATGATGCTGTCTTGGGCTTAAACTGCTTGTGTGTTTGTTCGTTGGTTCTCTTGCTGGCATTGCGGCTTCTCACTGTCTGTCTTTCTTTCTTTCTTTCTCTCTCTCTCTTTCGCACCCCAACCCCTCTCTCTCTCTTTTCGCATCCCCCCCTCTCTCTCTCCCTCTCTCTTTCGCACCCCCTCTCACTTTCTCTCTCTCTCTCTCCTTCTCTCTTTCGCACCTCTCACTTTCTCTCTCCCTCTCCTTCGCACCCCCTCTCTCTGTCTATATGCACCGTACTTT